TTATAGAATAAGGGTTTCCTCCCCTCTTACATGAATCATGGGCTAAGTAATGAAGCCCAAATACCAAGGCCCAATACAACATCAGTTATTATGACACATAATGTTCCAAGGACTTGAAGTGGTTTACATTTGGAACAATGAGGCGTACATGAATCTTGTTGCCGGTTATATGTGATATGAAACTAAAAGATGCCCCCAATTTGAAACTGATGCAACTAATTTGTTCTTTTTACACATTTACAAATAATTAGTTGGTGATGTTTACGTGAGCTTTGTTGATTGATCTTAAGTGAAACTGCAGGACGTAATGTTGTTCTTTCTGAGTCTGAAAAACTGAAAGTGATTAATGATGGTGTAACAATTGTTCAGTCCATAGAGCTATCAGATACAATTGAGAACGTGGGAGCGATGCTAATCCAAGAGGTTGTTCTTGGTTGCTAGATAATTCTCTTGCTGAATCTTATCTTGATGCATTTCCAAGCATAAAATTAGAAAGATTAGATCTTTACTTTCCTACATGCAGGTTGCAAAGAAAATGAATAATTTGGCAGGTGATGGTACCACCACTGCAGTCATTTTGACAAGAGAAATGATCAAAGGTGGACTTTTAGCAGTAGCTTTTGGAGCTAACCCAATTTCTCTGAAGAAAGGAATGGATAGGACTGTCAATGAATTGGTCAAGATCTTGAAGGAGAAGAGTCTTCCGGTAAAAGGAAGGAATGACATTAAAGGTGATCATTTCTTGTCATTCAAATAACATAAAATCAATTTTCGAGTTTATTTTTTTTCGTTCTCATATCTCTTATAGATATAATATTAAGTCTTTTCCCCCCTCTGCAGCTGTAGCTTCAATTTCTGCTGGAAATGACGAGTTCATCGGTAATTTGATTGCTGAAGCTATAGAAAAGATTGGCCCTGATGGAGTGATCTCAATTGAGTCATCCTCATCATTTGAAACGTCTGTTTTAGTTGAAGAAGGGCTGAAGGTAATGAAATGATTTGTGCCCAGTAAAACTTATGACAAAGTATATAAACTTCTGGATTTAAAAGTTGAGTTATTGAGATTACGGAAATTATCATAGAAATGAATGATCGTTTGCCATATATTTATGCTTACGTATTTTGAAATCCTAATCACAAAAGCAAATCTCAAAACTAGAGTTGGGCTCTGGTTGATTGTTTTATTCTTTTAGTTTCTGTTAGAATTCTTGTTTACTTGATATTCAAAATAATGCATTAATATTTTTTGTTCCGTACAGTTTGACAAGGGATACATGTCCTCCCACTTCATTACGAACCAGGAAAAATCTCTTGTGGAGTTTGACAAAGCTAAGGTCCTAGTAACTGATCACAAGATTTCAACTGTTAGAGAAATTGTTCCTTTATTGGAAAAGACAACCCAACTGAGTATCCCGCTGCTAATCATTGCAGAGGATATCTCAAAGCAAGTACTGGAAACACTGGTGGTGAACAAAAAGCAGGGTTTACTAAAAGTCGCTGTTGTTAAATGTCCTGGATTTGCAGAGGGGAAAAAGGCTATTTTGCAGATATTGCACTTATGACAGGTGAACATATTCATCACATGCCGATCTTTATCTTTTTCACATGCTTCTGAGATATATTCAGCTAGTAATTATTTTACTATGATTATGTAAATCTCATTTATCAAATGTATCGGTCTACAAAACAACATCGTTTTTCAAACTTTGTGAGAACTATAGGTTCTCTACATCGGACTACTAATATTTCGGCATGATGTTATTAGGTTATTTGTTCTGTGTCAGTAAAAACAATAATCAAATTGCAACTTTCAGGTGCTGATTTTCTCTCTGGAGATTTTGGTTTGACCCTTGAGAGTGCAACATCAGATCAACTTGGAATTGCAAGAAAAGTGAAAATAACAAGTAATTCAACAACGATAGTTGCAGACCCTTCTACTAAAGCTGAGATTCAGGCAAGAATATTGCAGATCAAGAAGGATCTGGCAGAAACAGAAAATGCAAACCTGTCGAGAAAGCTCTCCGAAAGAATTGCCAAACTTTGCGGTGGAGTTGCTGTAATTAAGGTCTGCGATATGAAAGAGCAACAATATCTGATATGATGTGTTGAAAATTCTTCTTTTTCGATTTTATATGTTCCTTTATGCTGATTGTACATTTGTGCTACAAATTAGAAAAAGCTTATGTTTGTGCATTAGTGCTGCAAAGTAGTAATTATAAATGAATCTACTGTTCTGTTGCAGTCAATTTGCTCTTCTTGTTCTCATAAAACAGACTACCATACACACCCTTTTCCAGCGAGCTACCCTCGCTTATTTTCTAAATTTTATTTTTATCATGGTTTTATTATTAACTGATTTTCATATGCCTTAGGTAGGAGCACATACGGAGGTCGAACTTGAAGATCGCAAACTCAGAATCGAGGATGCAAAGAATGCTACATTTGCTGCTATGGAGGAAGGAGTGGTGCCTGGTGGTGGTGCCACATATGTACATCTCTCAGAATTTATTCCTTCCATCAAGGATTCTATGGAAGATTTAGATGAGCAGATTGGTGCTGACCTTGTAGCAAAGGTGAGGGTCTCCTTTTCTTTCCTTTACTCACACGTACAAACAGGCACATTATCAATCTGCGTGCACATATGCACACCCACATGGCCCGTACATGCATCTATCTGTATATAGGGCAAGAAAGAGGAGAAAATGCCATTAGTGTTGCTGAGTCTTTTCACTCTTTGTTGTTGCACCAATCATTCAATGTTCAGTTTTTCCTTGCAAGGAATCCTGACACATGGTTCTATGGTTATACCTTATGTTAAACAACGGGCTACATCCGTTGAGTCAATAAGCTCACGATGTTCTTACCAACACAGAATTGGACTTTTCTAGCTAGCACACACAGAAAAACCCGAAGCTACATCTCAGAAAAATCATCATATGATTGGCCTCTTTCATTGGATTTGAAAGTCTTTAGCTTCTACAATTAAACTAAATTTTTTTATGCCTAAATGCGTTTTCTTTTTATAAAAACTTTAATATTGCAGTTATGCCTAGTTGAAGGCCTACACCGTTTTCATGCAAGAAAATCTGTCAATGTCGTATGCAGGCTCTACTTGCTCCTGCAAAAGCAATTGCAACTAATGCAGGGGATGATGGAGAAGTTGTTGTGGAGAAGACTAAAAGTTCTGATTGGAGAGTTGGGTACAATGCAATGACAGGGAACTATGAAGATCTCCCTGATGGAGGAGTTATAGATCCTTGTAGGGTTTCAAGATGTGCCCTTCAAATTGCGGTCTCCATTGCCGGAGTGGTTCTTACAACTCAAGCCGTATTGGTGGAGAAAACAAAGACGAAAAAGCCCGCTGTTCCTTTTGTTCCAGGAATAACTCCTCAGTGAATGCAGTCAAGAGAGTTACATCAAAGCTGAGAAAGAGGCAAACTGGAATTTCGTATTCCATGCTTTGCAACCAAGCTTCGGAACTTAAGTATAATTTCTTGTGGATTTGATATGAAGATGAAAACAAGCTTGGAGCGCTGTGAAAAAGAATCTGTTAGGAATCGGAATTTTATACGGAGAGGATGAACATATACGATCAAGATTTCGTATACGTTCGCATGGCCAACGTTGTCAGTTGATACGTTTTTGCCCAAGTTGTAAACTGTGTTCCTACCAATCAAGGATTTGTTCTTCTATAAACAATTGTTGCTTGTACATATGCAACAAACATTTGCTCTTGTACCTGCTGACTGTTACTGATAAAATAGATAACGAAAACCCTAGTTTTTGAAATGAAATCCGTAACATTGGATAGTAGTTGAGCAAGCAATTCGCCCATTATTTAACAAAAATGTTACTTTTATCTAGGGTGGGAACTTGGGATCAAAAACCAGAACGAAACACGGATCAAAGAGGACTGCAACGAACGGATTGGTTTTTCCAGTTTCGAAACGGTTTAGGTTTGAAACCGAACCGAAAGCTGAAATAACGGTTTGGTTTTGGTTCCTAATATTTGGAACCGAACTGAAATCGAACCGAATCACATAAAATTAAAAATTAAAATAAAAATTAAAAAATAATAATAATGTAATTAGCATATTAAGTGTTGGGGGTGTAGTTGGTTATTTGGCGTACATGGATTTGAATTTGGATACTTGAATTTTAGTATAGTGGTCATTGGGTGCTGGGATTTATATTTCCCATTTGATTTTGAACAATCTCAGAGGGATATCCTAGAATTTTAGTATGGTGGTTATCAATTTTGGTTTTACTTACCGAAAACTATTCTTCTTTCTCGTTTGGGAGCCATAACAAATTGAAAACACTATAAAAATAAAACAAAATAAAAAGTTGGGAACCCCAAGCCGAAATAGGCCTATAAGGTAAGCTCAATTTTTAACAAGCCTATAAGTTAGGTCCAAACCGAAACCAAATCGTTTGAAATCAAACCAAACCAAAATTGAATGGTTTAGTTTCACTTCAATTCCTACTGTCAAATTGAACCGAACCAAATGGCAATAAATTTTAGTTTCGGTGTTCGATTTAACCCCAAAACCGAACAGCACTAACCTATGCCCTACTTATACCATATATTTTTATACCACAATTGATGTACCACATTAGTAATAATAGAGGTAGAACCTACTTTTTATTGGTTGGTAGGCTTCATCTCTATTAGAGAAATCTCTCGTACAAATGTGATAAATGTAACATTACTCATGTGATAAGTGTAGCATTTTGTTTACGCACATACGACTTTACATCAAGTCTAAATCATTCTTTGCTTTGTTGAGTTGATAAGACGCCATAACGAAAGTAAAGCGTACAGAAATCCAAACCGGAGTTTTAGTAAAAGGAATCTCCAACTGTACGGAAAGCCAAAGCCATCCTTTTCTCTCCCTTCAACCCTTCACAAATCTTGCCTAGCTATTACACCATATATATACACTATATATATATATATATGTGTCCTCCCCTCGTTCTTCTTCCCAAGGCAAACAAAATCTCGTTCGAATTTCCAACAATGTCACTGCAGGCTCATCGTCCTCGTGATATTGTCAACGGAATAAGAAGTTGGTGCCAACACTGCCTACGTACCATAAGAATTGCCTCTTCCAACCCACATGCAATTCTATTTCCTTACTGCTACACCGAGTTTAATCACGAGCTCGATGTTTCGAGGCCTAGGCTTATCGATCACCTTACAGGCCTAGAACAACCGTCCCCCGCTGCCCGGTTACTGGATACCTTGTCTCGTTGGCGGACGGAAAACGAAGATGAACGAGTGTCTTGGATCACCTTTGAGGATGCGGTAAATGATGTTACTGGAGGGACCTGGATGGTTGAGAATGACCGTCCAGGTCCCTCTGCAGCAGCAACTTCTGCCATTCGAGCTTTGCCATTGGTGAAAATATCGGAAGGGCAGTTAGCCAACGAGCCAAATTGCCCCGTGTGCAAGGAAGGGTTTGAGGTTGGCGGAGAAGCGAGGGAGATGCCATGCAAGCATGTCTACCATTCCGACTGCATACTCCCTTGGCTTCACATACACAATACATGCCCGGTTTGCCGCTACGAGCTTCAAGCAGCCAGCAGCTGCAGCCCGAATGACGATTACTATGAAGATGAGGAGGAGGAGGAGGAGGAGGTGACAGAAAGCCCAAATATTTGGCGGTGCTGGTGGAATCTCTTCTTAATTTTCTGGCCATTTTCTGCATTGGTTAATTGGACGCAACGTTAATTACTATGGATAATTACCAACAACGTACCGGAGGTAATTTTCTACTTTGAACGTATTAGATTACGGGTTGCAAGTTGGAATGGAAATTCTGATTCCGGCCCTTAATTCTTTTATTGGCTAAATTGGATTGTTCATCCTGTGGTCATAGGACACTTGCATGATGAACCCGTGGTGAAAAAACTAGGAATTAAACCCCTGTGGTCTAGAATGTTAACAAATTTAGTCTAAAAGTAAGATTTCTGTTAAATGACTGTTAAAAGTTGGGGTAAAACTGTATTTTCAGTTCCAATTAACATTGAATTGAGACTTTTTTTTATTTAAAAAATTAAGCATTATTTTTTTTTGTAAATTGTTATAAAAAAATTATTTATTTTAAATGTCAATTGGAACTGAAAATACAGTTTTACCTATAATTTTAACAGTCATTTAACAGAAATCTTACTTTTTGACTAAATTTGCTAACATTCTTGACCACAAGGGTTTAAGCCCTAGTTTTTTCACTACGGGGGTCATCATGCAAGTTTCCTATGGCCACGGGGATGAATGATCCAATTTGGCCTTCTTTTAATTTATTTTGAAAAAAAAAAAGCTTATTTACTGTTTGTTGATCATGATGATGATATTGTGCAGACAGAACCTGGTGGTCCTCTTGATCATTCTATAGCCAGATTATTTAATAGAGTAAAGATGGTGTGATATACAAAAATGTTATTCTTACCATATTTTTCACATTATATTTGTACGACTTTTTTTTAATAAGAAGAGACCCGTATGTGTGTAGAAAACACACATTTGAATATGCTAAAATCAGCCAGGTAAGTACTTCATTACACCATTGTTTCCTAATATTGTTTTGTGCAGGCCGGCCCTGAGTATTAAACTTAGACAGAGGCTCTTCTTTTTCTTTATTATTATTTTGTTCTATAAAATTGAAATATTACATGTTAAAATGCTGGAAAGCCTAAACCACTAGTGCTTGAAAAGTACTTTGGTCTTATCTTGCACATTTTAATATACGTACAAATAAATTTGTGTACACGTAAATAAAATTTCGAGCCCTTCTAAAAATCGGGAGCTGTGTACGGTGGCATCTTTTGTACACCCTCCTCAGAGTGGGCTCTAGTTATATACATGCTAATTCTTTTCATTTCTTGTATTTCTTTCAGTTTCTTATAAGGAAATATTAATTGTACATTTTGGAGCACTTCACTAACTAGTTTGATTTTTTTTTTTTAAAGACAACTGGTAACAAACCACAATTGCACTAACTAAGTTAATGACTTTATGTTGTTTATATATAGAGAACTTTAACGGAAAAATTTCCAATACTGTTTACTTTAACGAAAAATTATATTTTTATAGTAAAAAATCAATCTTAATATTATTCACTTTATCATTTATTTTATCATTATCGTCAAAATTCAAGGATAAAATCCTTCTTATTCCATTAGTTTTCCTTTATATCATATACGGTTGAAGTTACGTAAATTAAGAAGTTTGGAATGATCAGATCAGGTGAGCTTCAGGCGCAATGGTTCTCCTTCCCCAGAGCGGGTCCCACTCCAAACCCCATACATCATCACCTCACCGCCGCCGCTTCTCTCCGCCTCAGTCACCACATCTTCCACCACCACCACTTCCGCCTCCGCTCCATTTTCCATTCCTACTTTCAGGTACTGTTATTGCTATTCATTCACTCCTCCCTCAATTTTCAATTTTCAATTTTCTTCGGATTGTTAAATGTCTTAATTTGATTTAAATGGGTAATACAAAACAAGGGTTTTTGTTAATTTTAATTAGTTTATGGGTTCTTCAATCTCTTATGTACTGTTAAACGTTAGCAGAAACTTGCCCATCATAGTCCCCTGCACGGATTGAAGGAAGGATTTAACTTTCTGCCATTGCCAAGTAGCAATGCTTCAGCTTCTGCTTGCTTTAGTTTCTTTGGTGGAGGAGGAGGAGAAACTAGCGATGATTCCCCAAATGAAGGGCAAATTTCTAGGTTTTCCACTAAAAGCTTCTTCAATGGAAGACAATGGACTAATGTCCTCCTTGCTCTTAACATCTTGTGAGTATCATTTTATCACCTTCCCAAAACAATCATGAAATAAATGTATAATTTAGTTTTTACTTGATTTATTTTTCGGAAATTTGCCAAAATCATCAGTTTTTCAATATGTGGTAGATATCTGATCGCTATGTTGTCGATATTTGATTGCTATGCCATCCTTATTTGATTTTGGTCAGTTCAACGATCGGGATTTGATTTCTGATCACTTTAACCAATTTCTCTATACTTTTTAAGTTTTTAGAATTGAACCCGGCTATCCTCTACACAGCTTATTGTTTGTTAAATCGTACTGACAGAGTTTATATTGCGCAATGTGCAACGCAAGATGAGTTACTTCTATGGGGAGCCAAGGTAAGAGTGCAAAATAAAATGTGAGAACCTGTTCTTTTGCAATATAGAAACAGCCATTAAGTGGGCTTTTTCTCACATCTTGTTGTATATACATAGATAAATAGCCTCATCGACAAAGGGCAATTGTGGAGGCTCGTTACATCGTCCTTTTTGCATGCAAATATCGGGCACCTCTTGGTACGCTTTTAATTTTACTGGTTATGTCTTGTCATTTTAATGTCTGCATTTCAATCTGATGTATGTATATGTGCTTCTCTGTTTACAGGTTAATTGTTATTCTTTGAATTCAGTTGGTCCTACCATGGAGAAGATTAGTGGTCCTAAGAGATATCTTGCACTCTACTTTGCCTCAGCAATTGCAAGTAACAGCTCATGATCTCTCTACAATAGCCAATAAAAATTTGCTTAGCCACTAGTATTCTGATTCAGTGGTTTCGAGAAAATCAGGTTCAGCGATGAGTTATGGGTTCAGTGAGGCACCTGCAGTTGGTGCATCAGGAGCAGTCTTCGGATTAGTAAGACACTTATTCTGTTTCTTCTGCCACTCTTTCTTTCAATTTCTTAGATTAGATGCACCATACAGCTTACCAGAGAAGCTGGGGTTAATTAAATTGTGCCAATATAGGAATTCAGTAGAATCAGTCTCGTTGTCTTGCATTCACACAGACACAGTTGATATTACTGCAAAGTGCAAATTAATACCGTGGTTTTCATTTTATCCCCCTCTTCCCTCTTCAGTACATTTCACAATTTGATGCTCTTTTAAACGAAACAATTTCCTCCAAGAGCGAATATTCTTCCCTGGGAAAAGTAGATTAGTTTGTGTTTAAATATTGAGTGTTAAAATTCTACCTATGTTAGTTAACCTACTCAGTGTTGTGGAATATCAAGTGTAACTTCTTTCAAGCTATTATGGCATGATATTGTTCTCTCATCTCGTATCATTAGTCAAACCTGTGGGTCTGATATTTTATTTAGGTTGGATCTCTTGCTGTGTTTGTCATGAGACATAGAGGTTTGGTTGGACGTGGCAAAGAAGATCTGCAGCAGATAGCACACGTGATTGTCCTGAATATGGTATGCTCCTTCTCTGGTACAAAATCTTGAAGTTTTCCACAACTCGAGCCTTTTGTCTATCTTCATAACTTAATCAGCTTCCCTTAATCCCCTTTCCTTTCTGTTGGCTGGATTAATAATGGAGAAATAAACGTATGTTTTTCTTCCAGGCTATTGGTTTCTTCTTCAAAGGCATTGATAACTGGGGACATGTAAGTACAACAGGCTGAACAGCAATGTTCTTGTCTCTTTTTCACTCCTTAACACTGTTTGAATTCTAATCAACCTGCTTCAGTACGTGTCTTTCGGTTAATGTTTAAAAGGAAGCTAATTAATGTGTGCGCGTGCGCGCGTGTCCTTCTCTCTCTCTCTCTCTCTGCACAGTAACACGCACACATGCGCGCACTCGCTCATACACATAAAGACACTGCAAGTCCAGTTGCTTTCAATTTTGAGTCCCTAATTTTTCACCACTAGGATTGAGTTTCTTGATTACTTCCCCTCCGCTATTTTAGATAGTCATACGAGCTTGCACAGGGTTCCTTATATGTATCTTATATATTAAGAAAGCAGAGAGATCCTCTGTACGTAATTCCTTCTCGTTTCTGTTATCCTCATGTTTGCATTGGGTGTGACATCTGAATCTCAGTTTGGAGGCTTGCTTGGTGGAGTTGCCACATCCTGGCTTCTAGGACCTGCATGGAAGTACGAATCTCCATCCGCTGACGGGCGAAGAATTTTTTCTGACAAGGCTCCTATTTTCTACCTCATCAACACAAAAAAGAAATCGTAGACATTTTCGTCTAGCAGAAGCAATGTCATCCCCAAACTTCTTGTGATCAAGGACCCTTGTGTACGAATGTAGAAGGCCGATTAGGCGTTTACGTTTTACTATTTGTTACCCTTAAGGTTCATAAATTTACTACTGTTCTTGCCCCCTGTGCTGGATTTACTTTGGGCGGCTGTATCATCCAAGTGTAATGTTATTTTTCTTATCATAAAGAAGAATAAAGGTTCACTGATCCCTCAGTTCGTTAAAAGTTACCTGTTGATACCTAATGGGTACGTTTTTCTCTTTTTTTCTTAGAACGATTGCAATTTAACTAATTGAGATTTAGTTAAATTTCAACCGTTGATAGGTAAAAAGAAATGTGTGGATGAGCAAAGCTCTGATGCCCAGTTCTACTGAATGAGCCAAAATACCATCTGAATGCTATAGTTCCTCCGGCAGCGGGTACTGCTCCTTCATGTATTGTCATGTATTTTCTTGTAACCATCTCGCAAGCATCTATTGGACATGTTATTGCGCTTTCTGAATACGTCCTAAACATTTCTTGCACGGACTATGCCACTGAGGTTATGTCTTGGTTGGACGAGAGAATCTCTTTGTTCTGTTCAAAGACGGTTGTAACGGTCTTTGTTCGCCCTTTCGATAGGTAGCCTTGGCATATGATTGGGCTCTTTATTTGGGCTTTTGTTAGGCTGTTGTCAATATTGGGCCTTCTCATACACCTCAAACCCAAAGGGTGCTTCTCTGGTGCAAACTTTGCAGTGTAATATTACTTTTCTCACCACTAACATATGCTCCCACATTTTGTGTGAAAATAATTTTTAGTTTTATTTTAAAATGGAAAGGAAAAAGGGAGAAAAAAATGCGGATTAGAAAAAGAAGTTTTCTTTTGTATATTTTATTTTTCAAAATTAGAGGACATTAGGATCATCCTCGGGTGAGCCTTTGAAAAAAAATTGTAAAATTTAATTTGTGTGAATTTACTTTACTGCTCATGATTTTGTTTTACGGTAGAAAACAAAATTATCTTTCTACCTTCTTTTGATTGACAAAGGATTTTATTAATGTAGTTTAGATAAAAGAAGAAAAAAGTTTCACTTATGCTCAATTCATTTGTTCATACCATACTTGGTGGTTAATACCCAATTCTATGAAAAACCGACTAAATAAGAGTTTTGTTCAGAGTCGGTCGTGTAAAGTTTCACTTATGCTCAATTCATTTGTTCATACCATACTTGGTGGTTAATACCCAATTCTATGAAAAACCGACTAAATAAGAGTTTTGTTCAGAGACGGTCGTGTATTACGACCGTCTCTGAACAGTTGACCATACAAGCCGCTTGCTCATAACTAAGTCAATTGTTATGAGCAAGCCGCTTGTATCAGTATTACGACCGTCTCTGAACAGTTGACCATACAAGCCGCTTGCTCATAACTAAGTCAATTGTTATGAGCAAGCCGCTTGTATCATTACCCGTTCAGAGGATTGAGAATGTAAGCTTATGATCACATACACACATACATATCATTAACATAATAATTATGGATAAAATTTTCGAGTATATACAATTGAATTGCATTAAATATTAAGCAATTTATGAGAGACAATGTTCGTTAGCGCGAACTGTATATAGTCCAAATCGTACAAACTTAACTACTATCCATCTACCTTGTCCTACAGTTCATTCAAAATTTCCATATTTTTCTTATAATTTACATCATTTTTTTTTTCAAACTTTTTATCAATATCGATATTTTATCGATATCTCTGTCGAAGCTTCCATGTTTTTGGATCTCCGACAGTTTCCGCATATTTAATACGGCCTTAATCAACCAAACCAACAAAGCAGATGAAAGATGAGGAGTACCGAAAATTTCAATAACCAGATCTCCTTGTAGAAAGCTCCTGCTGATGAAGCTGCAAAAAGCATTCGTCAGGTGATTAACTTACATATCAGAAGTAAATATCAGATAACTTTAGCTTGACAAACAAAGCAAGGAAAACACGAATGAAATCATGTACACAAATTGGATAAGACATGTCCATGGATGCATGATTCATCTGACCAAACGTTTGCTTATTTGTCTCGGTTGTCAAACGGCTATACCATTCTTAAGTTATGATGGCACAGAAGAGAGTTTTGTTTCTCTTTCAAACTCCGTCTCCATAAGCAAATAGATCCATTACTGACTGAGATTCATAATCACACAAATAGATCCACCAACTCAAACTCAAAATTGATTCTCGTGTCTGCGTTAAGGTTGCTCCGAGTTTATGCTTTTATAGATTCAATCCAATAAGATCAAAAACCTGCTTAAATTTTGTGTTTTGTACAGAAGTTCAAACAGTCATAAATGCTTATGCTTATATCTATATAAGTAACTTATGTGCTTTGCAAAGTTTTTTAATATAAAATATGTCGTATGAATTATTCCACTAAAAAGCCAATCGATATTTAGCAGAAATAACCAGATTCAGAGTTTAAGTAACTTACACGAGGAAGGTGATGGAGATATTGAATCTTGTGCACTTCCCTTGTTTCCGGGACTGGAAGCATAGGACGCTACAGGTGCAGCTGGCACGTGTGAGGACAAATGAGACGAGGGACTCGGAGAAGGTGAGTAAGGGGAACCATTAGTAGCATAAGTAGGAGGAGCAGTAGGGTTAGAACGAGAAGCTGGTGAGGAGACTGGAGGAATTCTAGAACCATGATATGGACATGGATGAGGATGTGCAGGTACCTTGGAAGGTGTTGGTGAGAGATGATAAATCTCAGGTGAGGGTGCTGGTGGGAGATGATGAACGTCAGGTGACGGTGCAGGGGCAAGAAGATGAGTACCAGGTGAGGGTGCTAAGGGGAGGTGATGAATATCAGGTGAGGGTGCTGGGGGGAGGGGATGAATGTCTGGTAAGGGTGCTGGTGGGAGAAGATGAATGTCAGGTGACAGTGCTGGTGCTGGTGGGAGATGGTGAATGCCAGGGGACGGTACTGGAGAAGCAGGATATGGAGAAATTGATGGCTCTGGAGATGGAGCTGGCGAAGGAGTTGGAGGGGTTGAAGAGGGTGCACCCTTCGGATAAGAAGATAACCTGATACTTTTAACTTTGCCAAAGACTGTGTTATTAAGGCCAAGATTTTTTTCACGAGAACCTGTGATTGTTTGAACCAACTGCTTCAATCTCTGTGGCGCAATGATACCTACATCAGACACGAGAGATGCCTGAACCACGACTGGGGGTGCTTCAGTTGAACCTATTTTGTTTATTATTCGCAAAAATACATCCTGCAAAAAGAGAAGAAAAAACAAATTAACAAAAATACATATGTAAAATCTGAGACCATCAACTAATACTAGCTCATTCTGATATTTTGGGTCCTTGGCAACTATGAAAATCCAGATGAACATTTAAATTTCAGTTATACTTGATGGTATATACCTTATACCTATTTTGCGTCGTTGTTTCCTTGATTGCTAATAAATTATGCTTTCTATTGCATAACTGAAACAAGTCTAGCATAGATTCAAATATGTTACGAAACTTGGATCCCAGCATGTTCGAAACTAAAATAACTGCTAATCCCACGTTCTAATCACGGTTTACCGATGTTTTAAAAGGCAAAGGTGAAACATAGGCATAGGCACTTCATGGATAGCATGCCTAGGTGAAAGCCTTGAAGCGTGAGGCGATAGCCTCACACTACCTAAAATTATTAATATATATATATATATATATATATATTATATAATTACTTTCTGAAACAAATATCCATTGTCATTCAAAAGTGCACAAGTCACAAACAAGTTTAACTCAAAGGTAATATCATCTTCTTCACAAAAAAAGAAAAAAAGAAAAAATTCATCTAAATCAAAGGTAATATCATCTTCTTCATCGTCAATTCTCCATTTAAAAAAAAAAAGGCCTAGTCAAATGCCTAAGGCGCGTCTCAACCACGTCTAGGCGAGTTTAAGCCTACTCTTGCTGGGCAGAGTCGTTTTCATCATCGCCCCACCTCCAAAGCCGCCTAGGCGCGTTTTTTAAAACATTATGTTTTACGAAATAGTGCTAAACCAATGGACCTAATACATCAAAAGCCCAAAAATTCACACCTAAAGAGATATGTGCAAAAAGTTGCCAGAATAGTGTTATACCTCATAAGGCCTCAGATGCAATCCAAACTTCAACTGCTCCTTTAACTCAACAAAATTTTCCACTATGTCGGATATAGAATTATTGAGAGTAAAATTAAATAAAATCTGGGGTTTCTGCCAGATTGAAGCTGATTGCAAAGGAATCACAGTAATTCCCCCAGGACACTTTAGAATCTCAAACATAGATGGCTGCCCGAAAATTGATGCAGTCAATGTAAGATTGGATTGCTTAAGGAATAGCTCAACTAAAGAGGACCTCAACACACTTAAGAACACTGGATCGATTGGAACATTTATTGGATCGGAAAGAGCACCAAACACCACATCAGTTTGATCAGATGCATCAAATTGGTGCATGGACAAGATAGCCACCTGTTGACAACAAGCAGACTTCAGTTTGATGCTTCACTTTGTATGAAAGGAATATGATATGGTCTATAAAGGAAAGAGATTGAAATTGTACCTTTGCACCTGGGACACCTATTTCCCCATTGATATCATATTCTAATCTTTGGATGTGTGGAACAAGGTCCGTAACTGGCTTTTCCAGTCTGAAGTATGCCTGAACTGTAGCTGGAAAAAGATAAATAGATATATAAGCTTTCGCCTATTTATTTCAGTCATCACTACTTTACGCAACAGAAATCAGAAACCATAAAGTTCAATAAAAATAAAATGGTTGACGCAACAAAGAACAAACATGTTACCAAATCAACAAAATACAAAATACAAACGCAAAAAAAAAAAATCTATTATCAAAATTCCAATTAATCTTTCAACTTTTTAAATGCATTAATTGAGTTTTGTTTTAGGCCAGTGCAAAAGGTTGTTCTAGACTTCTCGTATGGACCGTACAAATACATTACTTAAATCAGTGTGTCTTAGTTCAGCAGCAATTATCTCCACAATATTAGCAGGTTGGTTAATATATATTTTATATCCTAAATCAGTGCATTATACTTGGTGAAGTTTTTGTCCTTCCATTGAACATTTATTCAAGAGAAAATCGTATTCAAATTATTTTTAAAAGAGATATGAATAGTATACTTGAAGCATAACCTTGTGTTGATCGTAGGTGTTTTAGGTATAGCAGGAAATGTCTTGCTTTTGGGATTGGATGACACCTAACATGTTTGTGGCAGTGCTAATTATTTTTACTTATTATTTCATACTTATGGCAGTGCTAATATAATGAGCTTGATGTAACTGCTAGGATGCGGCAAGTTCCAGTGGTCTTGCATTTGAGGTCAATTACTTGGATTTCCTAACAAATTTGTTTCTCTAAACTGAGTTTTGACAAATGATGAGGATTATTCTTAAGATTATTATTGTTACTATGATTATGATTATTATTACTACTTACCACCATTATTATTTCGATGTGAAATGAAATACTTATTTAAGATGTAGTTATAAAAGTACACAAACAACGGTAAACAAGCAGCCCAAAAAGATACAATAATAAAGTCTATCAGCTAGTTATTTAAAGCTTATGCAGCATGAACACAGTATAAAAGCACAAAATACTAGACTCAGAAGCCATGGATTGCATAAATAAAGAGAAGAGGTACATCTCTGATTCAATTTTATATTATTCTACACTTCAGTCAAATTTACCTCAAAACAACAATATAAAAAAGATACTAAAGGGCCAACCACGGTACCAACAAGGCAATAAAACAGACTTAAGTCAAAATCACAGATCTAGCTCCTATATTAATTTACACTTCATCCCACCTTATATTTTTGTTTTCTAGTCCTTTTTCGGACTAAATACTAAAGGCGCCAAAAATAGGGTCAGGCCACTCAACTATTCACCATGATATTTTTGTTTAAAGATGTATTCTGAGCCTTCACAAACAAGGACAGAACCATACATAGCTCCCATGGGCAGTAGCCTACGCAGCTTGAGAAAACTTAAAATTAGCACTAACATTTAGCCCAATATTGACAAAAAACTAATCCAGCCTATCCTATATCTAAAACCCACTCCTTAATCCAACTAAATATAATATGTATACATATATATCAGCCCAATTCCGCTTCCGTCCTTGTTCAGACGTATTTGATACTAGAATACAAACATTTGGTGAAACAATGTTTTAGTTTTCTTGGCACTGCAGAACCGTAGATGCTAAAAAAGATATGGTTCTTTTTGTAGGTTATTTAAGCATACTCTTAGACTGCTCAGAGTTCGTCTATCATAAATCTATTCACTTAAATAGGAGTCGGAGCATACAGTGATATAGAAGGAGATCACGACCTCACAAAACCCTAGCTACTAAGTTATTAATGTGGGGATGTCATCAACTGCATCTGTACATCTTGATTAGAAAATATGTACCCCTTTTGTAAACTATAAATCCAAGACTAAGCTCATTGGGACAACTCTAAAACTAAAGCCTCTTTGAAAAAGACATGTGCCTTATGGCAATGCACTAATCAGAAAATAAAAGAAGGTAATCCAAAGTCAAAGAGTTGATGTCAAATGATATCAAGAGTCTTTTATTTGGATCTGATGAAAACACAATGTCATTAACCATATCTTGGATGAGGGACTTTCAAAATGACACCTTTCAAGGAATTATTTTCAAGTCCACCCATCTAATTTTTATAGTGCATCCTAACAAATTTGGCCTAGGTTCCTTGGAACTTTAAAGTCCTCATCCAAACGTACCCTAACTGTTCCAGGAATCTCCTTTTATTAATGAGCCTACCAATATTTCTACAAGTTCTATGAGTCCAGTAGGACTTTAATGTGTCTTTTCTATTTCTAGGAGCCATTGAATGTTCTATTTGAAGCCTTTATCATTTCCTTTTTTGTAGGTATAGATCTATTTCCTTTCTTACTTGTGAGGAAATAAAAAGTTAATTTTCTTGAGTCCTTGACTATCTAACATTTTATTATTCTCAGTTCATTCTAAGAACCAACACCAGAGAATACATATGAGAATAACATATATCACTACCATTGTAAATCTACAATGGTCATAAACTGCTACGTCCACTAAAGGTAAATAGGTGGTTCGGCTACATGAAAGCAGACTACATAGTGAGACATCCAATTATCAGATCCGACGATTTGCATTTCTGCAGTCGACTACAGAATCCTTATCCTCGTCAATGTACAGTAAAGAACGTACAGCTACTGATATCAAGTAGAAAAGCAGTATGGACATCGCAGGATATTAGTCACTTCCACCCATAGAGTAGTACAATCCGCCGCATCAGAAAAGAGAGCACTCCGAGGAGTATGAAATTTATAAAGGTGTTGATGTCTAAATAGATCCACCGATGGTCAGCGTCATAAGTGCTCCTAAATTCAACTAATTCAAAGGGAAGACTCTGTATTTAGCAAATATGAACATGATATTCCTCTTTTCATGATTTAGCCACAGGCAGACATGTCTAACATTTATAAAAAAAATTGCCTAGAAAATTAGAACACAGTGCACAAGAGTGCGAGCACACACACAAGATTACCATAAATCGTGATAGGACCAATTTCTTTCCCACCCATCCTAAATTGAAGTGAACTTCATTCCATATCCGCAAGACACCATGAAAACTTAGCTACTTGATCAGAAAGTGAAATCAAAATGATCAAGACTCGACAACTCACTCTAGTTACTCAATTCAACCTATACCTTGTATGCTCATGTGAGATTAATTTGAGCAACAAAATGTTCCAGCCAGACAAACAGCGTTACCGCAAGTTCCTCCCCTATTTACTTTTGGAATGTTATGATTAGCACTTAGGAGTTGTGTTACATATGGGACTTTTCTTAATGTACTAGCTAGCCACATGAGAAACATTAATTCCTAATGAGTTTAACTAACTCAATTATGCTTTTATATGCTACTCCTGTAGATTGTAATTCAGTTCACTATATATTCTGATATAATATCTATTTTTGTTCTTCTTTTAGCTAAAGATCTTATACATCTTTTTGCACATTTTCTTTACTTCCGGAATGCTTGGCCTCGCCAATAATGTTCAATCCTCTTGTCGGAATGCTTGGCCTCGCCAAGAATATTGAATCCTCTTGATAGTCAGTCAACAGGCTGTATACTATATGGTAACGATAATTTCACACTGACAATTGTGTCATGAAACTTGTATACTCCAAACAATATACGTTGAAGCAAAAGTTATAAAAGGAATATATAATTACTAAACCTTTGGTTGGAATTAAACGAAATTGTTGCGTTTTTTATCATACAGAGAGGCATTTTCGATGCAAGGGTTGGATTTGGTCCATAAAAAAGGTGCCTTGCCCATATCCTATATATAGCCAGGTGAGTCAAGTGAAACATTGCAAGACCTGAATTATACAACACAGAGAAATCCCACTTGCCCCTTTCCGAAAATAATCACAAAAATCCAATTTTTATCTGAAAAAGCACCAAAATCCCTAATTACTAGCTAAACCCATTTGAATTGCTGAAACTACCAAACATCTACCCAAAACCCATTTGCCTAGAACCTCCAGAAAGCCCCAAAACTTTACATTAAACCCAAAAAACACCACTTACCCATTTGCTCGAAACATCAGGAAAATCCAATTAATTAAACATATATATAATCAAAGTGAAGTGAAGCATAAAACACAGTAGAGAGAGAAAGAGAGATGGAATGTGGACATACCACTGAGCTTAATTTCCTGTCTGGCATCAAACTGGGAGATGATTGCATGGAAATGTGGGATCCAGAAGATCCCAGAGAGTAAAATTGAGAAGCTGAGGATCAAGACGACGACGCATCTGAAGCTCAGCTCTCTGCCGATTGTGCTGAAAACCACCGAACATCGCAGACAGATGAGTCCCGAAGAATTCTGAGCCTCCTGAGTCTGCCGCTGCTGTTGCTGTTGCTGTTGCTGTTGCTGCTCCTGCAGATTTGCTTCACTCTTCCCCATTTGAAGAGCATCTGGGATTTCCCCTCAATCCCTCTCTCTAAAGAGTACAGAAATGGCAGGAGGAGAGATTAAGAAGAAGATGAAGAAGATGAAGAAGATGTGAGGGACTAGTGTTCATAGTGGGTATAGTTGCCCTGTTTAAACCATTTACAAGGACAATCTACTCTCTCTCTCTCTCTCCTCCCTTCTCTCTCTCTCTGTAATCCACACACAGTCACTCACTAGTCACATACATATACGACTTCGTACTCACGGAGTCTTTACTGTACAAACATCCTAATCCAAATCGTTCATCTTCTTTATTAATTGAATGTCATTTTCAAAATAGTATATTAATTTCGAGAATGTTTAGTCATCTATATGTATCGAGCATAATATTTACAGTAATAATTAATATTTTTATTATTAACCATTAGCTGATTACTAAACCGTAACCAAATTAAATGAAATTCTCCAGATAGGATCTATAGATGATGCTATAGAGAATACTAGTTCATCGTTTGACGTTTGTATAGTGAAACGATGTTATGTCATCCTGCAATGACTTCTTACATGTAAGATGTCAAACAGTAATTTTGTTCAGTTTAGTTTTCTAGAGACATGAGCTTGTTTGGAAGGTCTTTGGAACTGTTTATGTAAGAAGCGCTTCATCTCATGAGCTTGTTTAAAAGTGCTTTTAAAATAACTGAAAATGATTTTAGTGAAAGTAGTTTTAGATTCCAAAAGCACTTAAAGTGCTTCCTATAAAAAGCACCAACATTTCAAGTGTTTTTTCAAGCCTCACTTTGCATTTTTACTAAAAAATGATTCCTAAAGCACTCTCATAAAAAAGCTTTCAATCATTTTAAAAGCATTTTCAAACCAGTCGTCTAAGAAAACACTTTCTTCACCCCATCGCCTATTACCTCTTCACTGTTGGCAATTGGCCTCTTGCCAAGTCCCGTAGTGGCCTTGGTGCCAAATTAGGAGCTGCTACTAACAACATCAAGAAAACAAGAGATTAATTGGCTCCTTACTATTTTCCCTTGGGATTAAAAACAAAAGACACCAAAAATTAGGGGGCACCTCCTCAGTGATTCACTGTGTTTCTTTCTCTCTTTTTAAAGACACAAGTATATGGTATACAATTTTTTTTTTCTCTGTAACAATTTTTTCTTTGCCCGCGTCGCGGATGCTCGAAAAAGAGCCTGCATATTTTACAGTTGATTTGATAAAAGGTAGGGTTCTTTTCGTGAAACTCCTGCAAGGTTATGCTTCAACTGGTCACACTATCTCAAGGAGGCTTCCCTTCGGAAAGAACATCCCGTCATCGCGACCTCACAAATGCACAAGGGAGATGAGAGGCCTGCCACCGTTTGGCTTTGACCTGCAATCTTCTCCTAATTCACTTGTATATGTGTTGCATAAGGAACCTGCCACCTTTTCACTTTGACACTCCACCATTCACGCCAAAAACAAAACTATACCGTTGTGATGTGTACGCCTTGCATATTTTCTTGAAGAGAAAGGAACGATCACCGTGACCAACAAAAGAGAAGAAAGATGAAGACTCCTGAAAGTTCCAATAACCGGATCTCCTTGTTCCAAGGTCCTACTGCTAAAGCTGCAGCAAAAAACACTCATCATGTCGTTAACTCGGATATCAGAAGTAAATATCAAACAATTGACATGTAAAGCAAGGCCAATTAGCTAATTTGTCTATGTGGACAAATGCTTAATAGTTCTCCTACGTGAACAGCAGTAAAGAGAGTTTCCATGCCCTTCAAAATCTGCCTTCATATACATTAGGCTTTTGGTGGATCAATTCAGTCTCAAAATTGATCAAGATGCATAACCATACAAATGATCGACCAATTCAATCTCAAAATTGATTCTCAAGTCTCCAATAAGGTTGCACCAAAGTTCAGTTTGTACTGGATTCAATCCAATAAGATATCCAAAATCTGCTAAGTTCTCTTTTGTATACAAAATCCAAATAATTACAAATGTATATACTTGTACAAATCGACTGTGTAATTCGTATATTTGAACCAGATTCAGATTCGATTTTGCTAAACCTGAATAATCCCCACTTCAAAAATTATGCCACAATACTCTTTTAGTCTACAAGTTTAACTTCTCATAACACGCATTAGTAAAGGAGGGAAACTCTACTCACTCAAAACCATGGTATCAGAAGTTGCATAACTGACTAACACCTCATTTACAGGAAGACCTATTTCTATTAGGAAAAACCTATGTTGCTAAATGACAAAATTATTGAAAAGAGGCACTTATTTTCTAATTAAAGCAGCACAGAATCATATCTTCTCATCGGCCTTAACTCTGAACCAGAATTGTATACCAATATAACACTTCAAAGACCATACACAAGAAACCACATAATGCAATAGATCAAAATCCATATATCCTACATAACAAGCAGGAGAGAAGAAAAAAACTTATTTGTAACTTACACGACAGGGATGGGCCAGGTGATGAAGACGTCAAGTCTTGTGCACTTTCCTTGTCTTCTGGACTGGGAGCATAAGACACTTCGGGAGCAGGTGGAACATGTGGGGACAATTGAGATGAAGGTGGTGAGGAGGATGGTGGAAATCTAGGAGGATATGTAGGAGGAACAGTAGGGTAAGAACGAGAAGTTGGCGAGGACGATGGAGGAATTCTAGAACCTTCAAGCGGACATGGACGAGAATGTGCAGGTACCTTGGATGGTGCCGGTGAGAGATGATCAATGTCAGGTGAGGGTGCTGGAGCGTAAACTGGAGAAGCAAAATAGGGAGAAATTGATGGCTCTGGAGATGGAGCTGGAGAAGCAGTTGGAGGGGTTGCGGAGAGTGTATCTTTCAGACAAGAAGATAAACTGATACTTTTAACTTTACCAAAGACTGAGTTATCCAGGCCAAGATTCTTTGCAGGAGAGCCTGTGATTGTTTGAGCCAACTGCCTTAATCTCTGGGGCACAAAGCCTCCAAACTCAGACATTAGAGAAGCTTGAACTACAACTGGGGCTGCTGTTGTTGAACCCATTGTGTTTGTTATTTGCAAAAATACATTCTGCATGAACAGGAAAAATGCAGAGTTATGTATCACTGAAATAAGACACAAGTATGAGAGCATCAACCAGTACTAGTATATATTCAAATGTATATTCATTATCCTTTCTAAACTTCTGGAAGAAAAATCAGCACTCTATGCGGCTACCCTTTTGTTGTCTTTGTTACCTCTATTGTTAAATATATGCCTTCCATTGCATAACAAAGACAATTCTTGCACGTATTTCATATATAGTAGGAAACTTGGATCTATAATAAAGTTTGAATTGTTAATGATGGTCCTAGCATGTTAGAATATAAAACAAATGTTGTAACTCGTTGTAACAACTTAAGTTTAGGAAATAGTGGTGAACCAACAACCTTAATGCATCAGAACCCCAAAATTTTATGCCTAAAGAGAAGTGTGCAAAAAAGTTACTAGAGTAGGTGTTATACCTCATAAGGCCTTAGGTGCAATCCAAACTTCAACTGCTGCTTTAACTCGCCAAAATTTTCCACTATATCATCTATACAGTTATTGAGAGTAAAATTAAATAAAATCAGGGGTAACTGCCAGATTGAAGCAGGTTGACCAGGAATCACAGTAACTCCCCCCGGATACTTCAGAATCTCCAATGTAGATGGCTGCCCGAAAATTGATGTTGTCAGTGTAAGATTGGATTGCTTAAGGAAAAGCTCAACTAAAGATGACCTCAGCACACTTAAGGACACAGGAGCTATTGGAACATTTATTGGATCGGAAAGAAAACCAAACACCACTTCAGTCCAATTATATGCATGAAATTGGTGCATAGACAAGATAGCCACCTGTTGACAAGAAGCAGACTTCACTTTGACTTCACTTTGTATAAAAGCAATATGATATGGTCTATAATGGCAAAAGATTGAAACTGTACCTTTGTACCTGGGACACCTATTTCCCCATTGATATCATATTCTAATCTTCCAATGTGTGGAACAAGGTCCGTAACTGGCTTTTCCAATCTGAAGTATGCCTGAACTGTGGCTGAAAAAAGATAAAGAGACACATAAGGGAAATTTTGCTATTATGAATGGTTCACCAATTCTGCCTTCTCCGTTAATATATATGATGATTACTGTCTCAACACAGATAATTGAATCTTATCTATGAGGCATAACCTTGTCTTGATCCTAAGTATTGTGTTTTAGATATGATTGGACATGTTTTATTTTTGGGGATTGCAAGATGTCTAAAATGTTTATGGCATGCTAATATTATGAGCTTGAATTATAAATAAATAATAAATATATATATGTATGGGTTACGATCCAGGGACACACGCTTTTGACACACATTTTTTGTGGGGCCCACTCGGTAACGTATTTCAACAATCCGAACCGTCTATCTTTTAAGACTTCCCTCAAAAACCATGTCTACCAAAAATACCCAAATCTGAAATCATATGACCATTGGATTAAATTTAGTGGGCCCTACAAAATGGGTGTCAAAATGTGTGTTAAAAGCGTGTCCCCCGGATATATAATACATAATATTAAATAAAGTGATGAAAAATACAACATTCACTACACTGAACAAGCAGTGCACCGAACGTAGAACAGTAAACTCTATCAGCCAGCTATTTGATCAAACATAAGCAAAACACATGATAGAAAAACACGAAAAGCTCAAGACCAGCCACCAGTCTCCCATTCTTATAAAGTTTATGGTATCACTTTATACTCAAGTCAAAATTACCTTTAATTTTATAACAACCATACAGAAAAACTCCAAAGGCCAACAAAGCAACAAGACAAAGCAAAAGGAACCAAAAATAGGGTCTGACCACTCAAAGAATTACCATGATATTTTTATATAAAGATGAAGTCTGCCCCTTCAAAAGTATATGACACCAATCTATACAAACTTTTTTTTTAAATTTTAACTTTGCCTTGCATTGATGATGCTCGAAATACATGGTTCCTTTTTTAATATTCTCCAAGAATACTCACTGTTCAAAGTTCACAAAGTTGATTAGGTTGCAGTGTTGCACGACATGTTTCACACAAGTTACATTACAGCTAAAACTTTGGTTTATTGTATTCTTGAAGAGGAAAAACATTCGGGTAGCCAAAACTTTGGTTTTTTGTATTCTTAAAAGGCAGGAGTTACGGGCACTTCCAATTCTGACTCAATCTTATTCCAACCATATTACAATCAACTCCAACTAAAAAGAGAGCATTTCTGGAAATATGAAAATGTATTTAGGTCTTAATGTCTAACTAGATGCGTTGAATCTAAGCATCATAAACACTCCTAAATTCAAGTAAATCAAAGTGAAAGCTCTGTATTTAGAAAATCTCAACATGGTATTCGTCTTTCCATGATTACCAGAAATCATGAAAGAACCAATCCCTTTCCCATCCACATCCTAACTTTAAGGGGATTTACCGTCTCCCCAGAACATCAAAAACTCTTAAACCGAAGACTTGAATTATACAGTACAGTCAAACACCAGCTGCCCCATCCTTAAAATAATCAAGAACCCCCATTTATGTAAAAAGCGCCCAAAAAACCCCTAATTATTTGGTGAACCACCACAACACCCGTATCGCACATTAACACGACTACCAAACATCTACGCAACAAGGTAAACTACCAGAAACCCATTTACTCAAAACATCCAGCAACCCCCAATTATACAGGAAAGATACACACTATCCATTTGCTCAAAAAATCAGAAAATTCCACATACCCATTTGCTCAAACCATCAGAAAGATCAAATTATGAGGCAAAATAATTCAAAAAAGCAGAATAATCAAAGTGAACCAACTATATTTACAGTAGAGAGAGAGAGAGAGAGAGGGAATAGAGGACATACCGCTGAGCTTAATTGCCCGTGTAGCATCAAACCCAGAGTTGGTAGCATGGTGAGGAAGGATCCAGAAGATCCCAGAGAGAAAAACTGACAAACTGAGAATTAAAACGAAGACGCATCTAAAGCTCAAGCCTTTGGCGATTCGGTTGAAAACCGTCGAACACCCAGGACAGATGAGTCCCGAAGCATTCTGACCCCCGTCACTCTGCTGCTGCTGGTGTAGATTTGCTTCACCCTTCCCCATTCGAAGAGCATCTGGGATTTTCCCTCTCTTTCTTTCTTCAGTCTAAAGAGCAGAACACAATCGACCCAGAAGAAGAAGAAGGTGGAAGATGTGAGGGACAAGTGTTCATGGTGGGTATCGCCTTGTTTCAACCCTCTTTCCTACTCGTTTCTTTTAGTTTTTTACTCTCTCTCTCTCTCTCTCTCTCCTCTCCTCTCTCTCTTCTCTCTCACTCTCAAGTTTAAATTAAACCACACACTCTCACTCATAAGTCACACTCACACACACGAGTATTCTTATTGCTTCTTATATTACGACAAACAATATTATATTATGTGTTTGTGTTTACGCTAACAGCTAATACTACGGTTTAATATTATTCACGTTTTGTCACTTAATATTACGATTTAGTAGTATTTCTCTTTACTTGTAAGTAAGAGATCTTAGATTCAATTCTCGCCAAAGACGAATTTGAACCACATTATTATCAGCTCATTATGAGACTTAGCATACTCTCCCACACCTTTAGTGTAAATAATATCATTTGTTAAAAAAAATATATATTATTCACGTTCTTTTATAAGTTAAAAATTTTGGGTTCGATTTATTTTCGTCGATGACAAGTTCGAACTAAATATTATGACGGACTCATTATGTGATTTAGTTCAAATTCTTCATCCCGTTAATGTAAAAACAGTGTTCTATTTAAAAAGATAAACATGACACTAGATTCGGAAGAGAATTTAAACTTAAAACTCTAATTATTAAAGAATAAAGTTATGATCACCAACACAATTCACCGCTGCTTTTCGTAAATTATACTATTTTTAGTAATTAGGCTACCGAACGTTGAGAAGAAGCAAAGGTGAAAGAGAAAGTGGGAGAGCATAAAGATTAGAGAGATGAAGAAGCAATTGATGGATAATATTTTATAAAAGTTGAAAGAAGAGAAAAATGCTCCATCCACCATGAATTGAATTTGAAATGTTCCATGGACCATATTGATAGTGGCTTTCAACAGTAACGCCAATTTATTACTACTATTATTATTATTTTAACTTTTGGGCTACTCATATGCCACGTATTATTACCATTTAATTAATTTTTATTTTTGTTTATTTTTTAAAGGAATCAACTGGCTGCGAAGCCACGTCAGTTCACTTTTATGAGGATAAGGAAAACCCATAGAAGCATTTTAATATCTTCCTGGTCATCATCGTGTAATTCATCAGTCTCAGATATCGAACCCGAAACGAACCGTGTGGAATATGAACATAAAATTCGCCTTAACCATTGTATCACTATGTAGTAGTTAACTTGTTTTGCTTCTTTGAGTTTCACTCAATTAAGTGATGAGGACGAAAGGAAGTTCACCCACTCACGTCGACTAGTGATTGATGCACGATGTGTTTGATGAAGGGAGCTCATCATAAGCATATAAAAAGTGTGAAAAAACTATACAACTATTGGATGGTGATGTCCAATGTGATTGGACAACGGCTTCTTACTTTTCTACAATCTTACTACCCAAGCCTTCTCCACATCCATTTTCTCTTTACTTGTGTTTTCAATTACCTTGTTAGATTTATTGCCATTAGCATTACAATGTATGATGTATATTGACTCGCATCGGTGGCGATTCGATTCACATGAATGAAGATTCGATTAATATGACAACTTTGAAATTTAATTATTACTGGTAGCTCATAGTGCAGTTCTTTAGTCCAAATCCCGCCTAGTATAGAATATTGTTGTGTCGGAAAAAATCAAAAAGCTTCTTAGGATTTTTTTTTTTTTTTACTTTATGTTTTGAGAATTTTGTCAAACAAATTGAAATTATTATAAAACTAAAGACTACTGAAGCTACAATGACAACATAAACGCTCCCAAAAACTTTAGAGTGGTGTTATCCACACACCCATTTTATTCTCATGCATCCTCTCAATTTTCGATCATCGGATCCAATATCCTATAGAAGATAAATGGACAAAAATTAACGTGTGGGAAGTAAAAAAAAAGATGTGTGGAGAGCAGTACTCTTACCTAAATACTATTTATGTATTAATTATGGACATTAAATTCTTTTTTAATAAAGAAGAAGAATACGATATTTCCACTTGATCGGTACGTTAGAGCATTTCCAAATGAGATAACAAATTTTAAACATCAAAATGATAGTTGATAGCTTATGTGGCAATTTGACATTTTGTACAATATTTTGCTTCACTCGATATGTTAAATAATAATGTCATTTAATAAACTTTTTATCTTTTTATGGAGTCCAATGATTAAAGCAACCAATCAAATATTTCAAAAACATAACAACATTTATTATATATTATATTAATCTATTAAAATATCATTTAATAAATTTGACATCTACTGTCAAATTTGATAGCAAAAGGCTTTGCCTTCAAATGACTCAGCACTACCTAAGAAATTGAAGGCTCGGTTGGAAAGAGTTGGCTGCCATTTTTACTGTTGTATGCCTACGTGGCAATTTTAACATCTCCTTTGAAGATGCTCTTGGAAAGGTCCTGCTGTCTTTTGTTGACACTCCATCCTCTTTGTAGTTTTATTATTGTGGTCACTAGATGTACAACAAGAAGTATAAGTCATCCAAACTTTCAGAGATCTTGTGAAATAGGAATTTCTTTCGTTGGGAACATTTAATCTAAGATCCTCATTTTTTGAACCAATTTAGCGCACAACTGCAAATGGTGGCGATGTTTGTTAGAATCACCCACAAACACCAACTACAGGGTGAATGGGGTTGATCACGAGTATGATCAAATCCGTGTTGGACAGCTTACTTGGAAGAAAATCAAATCACAGGTACAGTTCTAGAAAGAATGATGTAGTGTGTACTACATCGGAGTACATCCTTGACGAATAACTTATGACAAGGCATAGAGAAGAGATGAATCATCATCATATGTCTACGCGCAGACGACGGCATGCATAGAATAGTCACTGATTATGGTAGAGAATGGTTGATGATCGTACAAGATTCTAGTCGAAAATAAAAGGCTAGGGTTTATATAGAGATCTTGAGAAACCTTGCATGGAAAGTAATCCTTATTCAATCGAAAGAGAATCTAGGAGAATATCTTTGCACCTGAAGTCTCGCGTTCAAATCCCCCGCCACTTCGTTTAGTGTACTATCTTTTGTAAAAAAAAATATTACGGAACATGTTCACTAATTTAAGAAATGAAAGCAAGAAGGGATAAAAACCACATAAGCATAAAATTCATGGTTTTAACAGAAAATACACAGCTTTATCCCGACAAGGACAACTACAAAAAATGCAAGAAAAGATTTGGAAATTAGAAAAGTTGGATGGTAGAAAACGGGACGAAGGGCGGATATAGTCGAGGTACGTAGTGATAGCCAAAACAAAATATAACTTGCATAACAACATTGTCAAAACTCTAGTAGCGCTTTTAACTCAGATAACAGATCTTATAGAGGAGAATTTAACAGACGTCCTACCAGGGGGGAAAACAAACTAGAGCACAAATCCCATCAAATGCTTAGTACTCGTCGTCATCATCACTGTCGTCATCGTCACCAGCATCATTGAAGGCCTTCAACCTGTCAACCAACTTCTTCTTCCTCTCATCAAAGGTAAGCTTCTTCAAGTTGTACCTGTTACGTAAATGAAAATTAGAATCATCTGATAGCAACTTCCCACTGATTACTTGCAAACAATGAAACGAGGACTTGATGTAAAACATCAACAACTGGGTACAATCAATCAGACTTTACCTCTTGTGCTCCTGAGGAGCCGGCTTTTCAGTCTTCTTAATTGTAGGATCAGCACGGATGGCAGCATGAACTTTCTTGTACACCTCCTCGATGTCATCCGCTTCAATGCCTTTCTTAATATATTCACTGAAGTGACTCTGGTATTTCTCTGGCTCATCCTCCGCCAGAGTCTAAAATTAAAAAAAAAATTAAAAGTTTAAGAAAACAGTATTAATTATTCTACCTGACAAGAATTCTGAACTCTTCTTTGGTTCAACGTCCATAAAAATTCAGAAACAAATAATTAGGATTTTGACCAGCCGACATAAATCTTCTAGAACAGAGTTAATGCCAATGCATGACATGAATACTCAAGTCTCAAACTTACCCTCATGTATGCAGCAACATGGCCACCATAAATGTACTTGCGATGAATCTCAGCGTCAAGTTGCTTACCATCCTTGGAGAAACCGGCAAACCTCTTTTCACTGTGAGGGATATCCAAACCCCCATCCAAAGCACCCTGCAATCAATTAAAAATTCTTCAACTCAGTTAGGCACACTCCAAGTGGATTAAAAATTGAATTACTTTCAAGAAAAGACCATGTTATGTATAGGATGGAAGCAATATGAAAAATAAGGTACCACCAAGGATCAATATAAAATTCATCAACAGGCATCCAAAGAAATGTTTAAATCGAGGTTCGTAGGATAAAAGAAAAAAGAGTGCTATTGATAATAATGACTGAAAAATAACAAAACTGTTAGTCCGAAAATGTCGTCCATATAGGAACGTTTACCTTAAAGTGAAAGTACACAACAAAGTAATTTACACATAAGCATCATCAAAAGTTAAAAACAAATACTTGGAACACATCAAATATAAATAGCACCATAATGTGGTACCCACCTTCAAGGCACCGAATACACGGTTTCCTGTGGTGGTCCTGATCAGGCCAACATCAAGAAGAGCACGGAATGGCCTTCTGCTCTCAGCTGGCTCTACAGAATAGTCTTCACCAGTAGCCTAAAATACCAGATAAATTTTCACAAAAAATTAGATATGAAGGGAATCAAATTGAATAAACAAAAAAATAATAATAATACACTACCTCAACATTTCCCTCGTACTCATCATCCATTTCAAGCTTCTTCAACACACGACGAGCCAAGAGTAGGCCAGTGCAGTAGGCTGATCATAAATATACAGTTACTGGTACTACCCAACAAGTTGAACTCATGCATCAAGACAGACAGACTAGTGAAGCAAAATAACCAGAGGGTGGAAACAACACCTGCGGCATAGTTTGTGAGACCAACTTCAAGCCCATAGCGTGGGAGCTCATGGGAGTAGGCTGCAGCAAGAACCAAATCACCAGCAATACTGGCAGATATAATCTGAGCAACAATATCCTTGTTGGTCTAACGATTATGTTAAGGTGCACATCACAGATTGCACAGGTGAAACAGTCATTTCAAATTCTAACAACG